CTCACAGGGAGCCTCACCATCCCTTTTATCTCCCGGGGGCCACCATCTGCCTGTGTGATTTCTATGTCCACCTCCTGCAACCCTTCCTTCTGTTTCACCCGTCTGTATTCTTTTTCTCTCAGCAATGAAAGAGACGCTCCTGTGCTATCAAAACTTTCATTGCCCTACCCCCTATTTCTGCCCTACAAGATAGCTCCTTCTATTGCGTCAGTAAAGAGAACGCCTTGGCTTTCCTTCTCCTGGGTTCCCACCTCTGGGTCATCCCAGCCATAGGTGCTGGTAGCAACAACTTCCCATTATCCTCCTCACATAGGGGAGTTCCTCATTTTCTCATCCTGGGCTGTCCCAGCCGGACTCTTCCCAGTCTCTCTCTGCCGTTTCTTGAATCACAATTCCTCCTCAGGTACCCTGGGCTCCCACAAAACCAGCACCTCCTTGTTGGGCAGTTGACCGCAAAGTGGCCCACCTGACCACATACCCAACATTTTATGCTGCTTCTCTTTAACTGGGACACCCTCCTTCTTATTCCACGGGGACCCTCTCCTTTCCTTCCTGTCCTTTCATTCCTATTTTTTAACTGGGTCACCCTGCTCTTGTGCCTTCCTACCTGGCCCCTTTTTCCCTGGTTCTCCCTGGCTCTTTCAGGCCAGCGTCACCACTATCCGACACCAGTTGGCTAGGTGTCCCTTTTTCCCACATCTAGCACATATCTTTGCTCAAAGTCTGGGGGCAATCCCACATACAGATTGTCCCAACTGTGGTCCTGCATCCAACATGTCCAGCAGATCAACCCGTATTGACCTCTTAGGGAAAAACCAATTGATGACAGCTTCTCTGCTTTGGGGTCCCCAACATCCAGGGGTTTCATCCTCAGCTTGATCATCTTCAGGAGGGTTCATGGGGCTCTATCGCTTCTGCCTTCCTCCCAACTTTGAGTCAATAATTCCTACCTAGTCTTTTACCTTGTCCCAAACTCCCTGGCTCACTGGCTAAGAGTCCCTTTATGAACTCTTTTTCACGCTTCGCTCTGGTGGCATTATAAATCCCAACTGGGCCTGCATCACTGGGTTTCTCACTCCTCTGGGAAAGTCAATATATCATGCAGCCCCCAACTCTCCAGGGGTTTTGCCCTCAGCCGTCATCTTCAACTCTTTAGGCCTCTAACGTCAAAGGCTGGAAACCTGAGGTCCGCCCAACAATTTTCTGATCTTTCCCATGTCAATCCCTGTTTAAGAGTCCCTTTTGAACTCCGACACTTTCCCATCTGAATCATGGTCAAATATATTTCTCAGGAAACAAAAAGAAACACAATCAGAACAGCAACAATCCTTAAAACTCTTTGATTAACCAAAAAACGGAACCCTCTTACCACCCAGACAATTTCCAGCTGGCAATCTTCTCAGGTTCCTTCCTCCATGTACTAGAGGGTCTGAATCATGGTTATAATTAACCAAAGTCCTTTGAATCTTGGTCAAAAAAGAAACACCAATATGTGACAATCGAAATTGGGAGATTAACATCAAAAAATGACACTCCAGCTTGTCTTCCCAGGTTCAACTCCCAGTCTAGAAGGTCTGAAACTATAAGGTTTCTTTTCATCAGCTATTTGGTTCCCACTAACTCCAAACTTGAACTGTTTGGAACCAGAGACGCCACAACTCTGAAATCAACTGACTAAACTGCCCGGGGACGTTTGTTTATATGGACACCAACCCAAACCCAGTGTGGGGGCCTGACGTGGTTTAGGTTCCTTGACAATTCTCAATTTCCAACAAGAATTCTCTTTGTTCTTAGGCCAGGAAAATTAATTACTTTCCATTTTTGGAAGATTAATCACTTTCTACTCCGGGGTTCCTCCCTCATCTGTGAGGGAAGGTCGGAGGAAAGTTATCCTCTTAGACTCCCACATTGGTATCTCATACCAATCCCCTCAGTGAGCGTTAACAACTTCTCCATCTTTCTCATACATTCACCTTTACCTATCACCCATGCTCCCACTCATCCAGTGATCCCTCGGCAGTGTGGGTGTGGCTAGACTGGCCCTCTTAGAATTATTCCAGAATTTTGTTTACAAAATCCTTTTTTTTTTTTTTTTTCCTTTGACCAAAACATTTTTTTCACAAATCCCAGATTGCCAAATAATTCTTTATCACATCCCAAATCCACTTAGCTTGGATATCTACTGACTCATTGATCATTGTCAAAAACCCGACATCTGGGTTCTCCGCTAAATCAACTATTAACTGGGTGGTGGTGTTTTACCTGATAATAAAATTCTTTATTTTTCTCATGCCTTAAAATTCTCTTATGACCAGATGCCCATTTTTGAGACAATGCTGTGTGACATCAACAGTTTGAATAAGCAATAATAATAATTTCCTTTTTCTTTTTTCCTTTTCATGTCAAGATTACCAGACGATTTCCAGATGGACACAAGGAATTAAAATGAAATGATATCTCTGAAAGATAATTAATATCTAGTTCTCAGGGTGGCCTCAGGCCAAGCAATTTTTTTGACCGCCATATGTTTGTTGGCTTTTGTTTTTTTTCAGAATTCTGTTTCCCCTTGGCATGTCATTCCCTTATCGTGACATTAATTAATTTTGACAGAATCACAGTCTCGCTTTTTTCTTACGGATTTTCTGTCTTTTTTAAAAGTATCTTTTTTTGTAAATAAAATAAAATCTTCTTTTTTAATGTCGCTCAGTCTATCTTTTGATATAGCTCTTTCTCACCTTAATTCTTTCCTGTTTTTTAATTTCTATGGTTAATTAGTTAGCCAATTACCATAGCTAAATAGTGTCACACAATTGAAAACTTGTAAGATGAATTAAAATGACATGTAAGTACAAGAAAACCAAGTAATCTACAACAATTTGAAGATTATGCACATGAAGCATGGAAAAATATCCCTTTCAGTGTGTTTGTATTAATTTAGTAAAAGATTATTAAAAGACATTAGAGAAAGTTATAACCCAAAAAGGATGTAAACTTGACTATTCATTTTCTTATGCTGTTAATTTTGGGCATACTAATTTTTTTTTTACAATTATTTATTTTGTATATGTTTATTCACTAATTGCATAGTCACCTTTTTTTTATTCTGAAATTATTTACTGCTGACTTTTGTAATTATTTTCAATAAAAAAATCAGATGATACTTATAATTTCAATCTGCAGTGTACCTGAATAAATTGTTGTGTGTTAATATAGTCTTTTTAACATTCTATAACTTTTTATAATTTTTTACCCATTAATTTTGTTAACTCTTTGAATGTTTCAACTTTAACATTACTTGCAGAACTTTTTGTTGCTCCTCAGAGTTCTTTGCTTGAATATTGTTTTCTTTATACATCTCTTCATAAAATTTGATTGTTGAACAAGACAGTGCCTGAAAGCACACTTTGAGATTAGTGTCAATTAGATTGGAACAAAATTAAAGTTTGAGAATGAGTCCTGACATCAGTTTAATAGAAAATATGTGGAAAGTGTGAAGCACAGATCATGGTTGGAAAAGGAAAAAATATATCACTAATTCCCAAGGAAGAATGGTTGAAAATATCTCCTGAATTTTGCAAAAAACTGGATGTTAAATACTTTTTGCTCCTCCTTGAAAGTTTTGAATTTTTATATTGCTTATATTACCTGAGGAAATCATATTTTAATTTCCTTTGTTTTAACATTTATAATTCCACTCATTTCCCTTAAATCTCCTCTCTCTCTTCCTCCTATTTTTTCTGCTTGCTACCTTTACACTCTTCAACCAGGCCTTTTTCTTGCTAAAGGTAATATCAATTAAGCCAGTGAATATTACTACTTTGACTTTAAAAGATCAAGTAGGTGGTGGACAATAATGTTTGTAAGTCTGCAGATTTCTAACCACTTGTGAAAGTGCTACATGTTGCTTTCTTTCAGTGCCAATTTTTGGATGTGTTAAATTGATCATCTGTTAACAGGCTAAAATAGTTATGCTAGGAAGAAAGGCCAATACTCTTCTCATTCAGGTGTAAGAAGGTGTACTGCTGCTTCTCTATAACAATGGTATGTAACTCATGTCTTTTCTACAAGATTCACTGCTCCTTTGAGATGGGGTGTCTTCTGGGTATCTGATGTCAGTTGGATTTTGCATAAGCGTGGCATAATGGAAGTTTTTTCTGCTAAGTTTAATGACTTCAAATGGGCATCGATTCTATATTTGCAAAATTTCAATCCACACTGATATCGAAGGATCAATTTTTCCCCACTAATGGATGAAGTGCAAGCATGAACATCTTGAATGTGATTTAACTTTACCCATGGTTCTGAATATATTGACTTCAGTATTTATTAATTATTGATCTTCAACACAGCTGGTTATGCTCAACTTTCCTAAAAATGCCTGGATTCAGATAACAATTAGTTTTTTATTAGTTTTCCCCTCAAAACATTTCATTTTTCCTCTTTCACATCTATATAGGAACAAATAACACTAAAATAAGATTTTTGGATTTCTTTATGGCCATACTTTATTCTTCATTGATGATAATCTTTCCCAAACTTTAGCATTTTTGTGTACATAATGAAACATGCAGCCAATATCATAAGGGAAAACCTATTTGTCAACTTGGTCAGACCCCAGAGGAATGGTGGAACTAACGGATTTAATTGTAAACCCTGGGTTAATTCTAGGTTCAGATATCCAATGTATCTTGAACTGGTTATTTTATTTTTGAAAAGTTTAGTTTATATCTCTTTTGGTTATTCTTTATTGTTCTCTGACATCTATTGTATCATTTTTTTAAAATTTATAGTGGTAATATTAACAACAAATTGTTAAAATGTGACTTCAAGCATAAGTAGCTTGGATTAAGGTCAGTATTCTCATAATATTTTATGTATTTACTCTATTTTAAAAATTTTATTTATATTAGACTTTTATCAAGTAATCATAATGCTATAGTTTCAGTCTATTTTGCATTTTGTCAAAGACTATGTAATATCCAATTTGTTTATCCTTTTAGCCAAACTTACTGGACAGCAGCAATCTCTGACAGATTTGACCTCACAAGCAGCAGCATCTTTAAATAAAGCTGACTCTTTGCTATCGAATGGTTATATGCAGGTGCAAGATCAGAAGAAACAAGGTATATAAACTTTTATAGTTTATCTTATTTGCATTTTTGTTACTGTTATAATTTCCTGACATAAAATTAAATCTTTATTTTGGATTATTTCCATTTTCAATTTTATTAATTCCTGAATGAAGAGAAAAATGTTTTGCACAGCAGATACAGGCTATATAATATCAGAACTGCAAAGTTGTATACATTAAAATTTAAGGTTTGAATCATCCCTAAATTCTTTATGCAATAACACTGACTAATATTTCTATTTAAGTTTCAGCACTTGCTAATAAAGAATTAATAAGTAAGTTATATGATGCTTGATTAAATTATGGAAACAATCATATTTTTAAAGAAATATATGTTAAATTATGCACATCTGTATTTGACTTGTTCTATTGAATTAACTGAATTACTATTTTTCAACTACTGATATATATTATGTACACACAAAAATAGTGTATTTAAATATCAAAGAAAATCAGCTGTTATATGACACATTTGGTGCAGAAGGGGCGTATTCAACAAAAAAAATCAAAAACTGCTTTTTTCACTGCAAGTTATTCATTATATCCAAGTATTTTACAAAAATTAGAGCCGATTACACAATATTTCAAGCTTGATTTAGGTTTATAGTTCGTAACCATGCAATGAGATGATTTATCAGTCTGCAGAATATCATTATTACATAATTATAGTGAAATCATTAAGGTTTTTTTTTGTCAAAAGCATGTTATTTTTGGTTGTATATTAATTTAAAATATTCTTTTTTACAGGCTTTATTTTTGAAATGGAATAAGATCATTCTAAATTTCAGAATTTCACTATTATCCATCAAAATGACTGGAAGAAAGTGATCTAAAAACAACAATGGAAATGAGAGGTAACAAAATGTAAACGAAATAGCTTCAGTTTGTTCAACTTAGGAAACTTAGCATTGCAGCCAAAGTATTCTAAAATGCTGCCAATAACAAAGGAGAAAATGAAAAATACCTAAAAACAAATCAAATATAGCATCATTATTTTTATTTATTTGTTATGTAATTAAATACATAATTGTCAATGTTTATGTAAAACTTGATATTTCCTGTAATAAATTCTTAATAAATATTATTATTGTTATTATTATTTTACTTAAAGTGTAAGGTAGTCCTACATTTACAGTTCCTTATGGCTAACCATGAAAAGAAATGTTGATCAAAACTGCCTAAAACCTTTAAGCACGTATTACTGCAAAATTATCAAATGTTGAATACGCCCCTCCTCTGCCGAACATGTCATATCAGGCCAACATGAAAAATTACAACACAATTTAGCATAAATTTATTATCAATCATCTCTGTCATATGAAACTGCTGCTTCAAAGTGATGAGTCTCAGTAGGCTTAGTGAATTCATAATTTGTAAATTGATTTGAATTCTTAATTTAAATAGTGCTCAAGGTGAAAAATTACTTTCTAAATAGAAATTAATGTAGGTGTTCTCCAGGACTCTATCCTTGTACCTATGTTGTTCCTAATTTTCATCAATGACCTTCCTGATGTCATCAATTCTCAACTCTATTTATACTGATGACACAACTATTTACTCTTGTAAATAGTTTGATCAGTTTGATAAGGTCAAATTAGCAACTGATCTAAAAAATGACCTATGATATGTTGTTAATTGGGGAAAAGAATTGTTTCTTAATTTTAATGCCTTCAAAATGAAACTGCTCTCTTGTCTGAGAGGGACCCTTTTTGTTTTCCATCAGCATAGATGATGCTAACCTCCAGGAAAGTGACATATTGCACCTTCTCAGACTAATGTTTTCTTCTTAATTCCTGTTCTTTTATTGTTCTCTTTCCTTAATAGTGCTTTTTTTTTCACATATTCTCTATCACTCGGTAACTTCTTAGTGGCTTTATTGCCTTGTTTGGGGTGAAGTGATTATAAAAAATAGAAGTGGAAATATATAAGTATATAGAAAAAATCTTTTTCTGTTCAAAGTTAATAATTAACTTTGAATAGAAAAATATTCTTCATGCTTAATACATAAGTATGCTATTTTATGTTGAAAGAAAATTACTTTATTTTTTCTTTCAATATAATGTTAGAAATAAGAATGAATAAATTTTAATAGGTATAAGTTTAGAAGTTAATTACTACATTTTATTTTTCTATAATTTCTATTTCAAAAATTATAATTAATTTCAGCTGCTCAACCTGAAGTATATTCTGAGGAAACTCTCATCATAGAAAATGAACTACTTTTGCCAAGTTCTGAATTCACTGGGAGAAATACTTTAGAATATCAACACCGTAAGTAAGATTATTTTGACATTAACTATTAACAAATTTTCCATTTTGTTCCATTATCTCTTGCCATATTTCATTCAACTTCATAATTACATTCTTTCAGAAAGTTTTATCTTCCATGGCTTTATCTGCTTTTTGTAGTTTTCCAAAAAATAGAAATTCTTTTTTTATTAAGAACACTCTGGAGAGAATGGAATAAATATTAATCAGAAGGTGTAATATTTGGTGAATATAGCAAATGAGTGAAAACTTCCCAGCTAAGGAATAACAATTTTTGCCTGGTCATCAAAAAGACATGGTCTTGTGCTAACCAGGTGGAATATTACACTTTTTCTCTTATTCCAGATGCATTTTTCTCAATGCTATTCCTAATTTCTCAATAAAGAATATTCTCAAGGAATAGATTGATAACTCAGTCTAGTATTTTATGAAACAAAACATAAAAAAGAGACGACTTAAATAGAGTGGACTGCTCATGAAAAAATAGGGGAAAAAGTTTTTTGAAATAATTTTTGTAGATTAGCATTCTTTAGACCTTCCATATCAGAATCAAAACCTATTTATTTTATTTTTTTTATTGATTTAGAGGCGCGAGTCCTGTTTATAATAATGTAATCAAAATCAAATTAGCATTTATTAAATTCTGATTTGATTTTGATAATGTTAACCACATTTCCTTGCAGTTGCAAAGTCACTTCATTTTACTGTGTGAATATATCTGAAAAGTAAGCAGTGTCATCCAATGTATAAAGCTCAAAGATTGTGCACTCAAAACCTATTCCTGGGTTTTGAGCAGACACACAAATATGTAAATATTATGTAAAACTGACATCAAATAAACATTATTTTTTTTATTTATATCTACCAGAATACTTGTTTATCTAAGTAATTGCTGATTAATGATGATAACTAATGATGATTCAGGATCAAAAATCAAATTTTCAAAAATAACTTTCTTTCATTTCCAATCTACCTTTTGTGATTTTTATGAATAATTGATTGTTTTATTGATGGCTTTTATTGTTATTCAAATAAAGCTATTTTCTGACCCTAGAATTTAGATCAAAGTGTGAGATGCCTTCACAAGATTTATTTGTGGGACACATGCAGCCTGTGAGACTACTGAGTGTGGCCTACAAGGGGTTTTCAAAATTGTCATTTTTTCGTGTTCATTGGGATAAATTCTGACTAATTGCATATGAAAAATTCAATTTTGTGGGAGCCTGATTTTATTAAACCAAAATTTCACTGTCTTTGTATCTAATTAACCATTTTAATTTTCCACAGAAAAAAAGAAAATTTTTCATTATCTCTTTTTCTATACATCTATCTCATTCATACTGAAAAGCCTATTAATTTTTTTCCACCCAGACTAAAGTTGAATCAATTTCAAGAGCCAGTATTTTACAATCCTTTAATTGAAGAAAGTGTATGTCAGAGTGGTTGAGAAAATCTGACTTCATAAATAAAAGTGTCTCAGAAAATGATGATGACTTTGTTAGTTATTTGGCAGAAAACAAGACAGAAAAAGCAGTCATAGCCTAAGGCTGATAACATTTTTATTAGGATCCCATCTGGTCCTGTTGCTTTCTGGTCTTTGTGTATTGCAGATTTCTCTCTCTTTCATTGTGAAATAGTTCTTCAATGTATTTGTTCCATTTTTGGAGTATTTCTTCTTTTTCTATTTTGGGCAATCTGTTGATAAGCATATATTTTGTTTTGTTAATTCTTTTGTGCATATTTGTCTTATCCATGGTGCTCATTTTATTTCCTCATGTTTTTATTAGACCATTCCTCTTTAGCATGCCTGCATTTGTTTCTGTGTTTAATGTTCTATAATCTGTACTATTCCTTAACATTGTTTGCTGTCTTTTTCATCATCTTGGGAATTTCATCTGCCATCAACTTTTTTCTCTTTTTTCATTTCCATTAGGATGATCTCATTCAGTGATGTCACTAGTACTTCTTTCAATGTATTCCACTTTGAATTTTGAGTCACATTCAAGTTATTACATTTGCTTTTAACTGTCAAGATACATTGCTTTGTAATATGGATCATTCAGGAATCTGTTGTATTGTACATACATTCTCCTGTCAAAAATAAAATTATGCTATAAATTGGTTAGTAAACTTTTTAAAAATAAATTAGTTTCTCTCAAGCCATTTTAACTAAGATTGAATCAGAAATCTTGTGCATAACTATTTTATACACAAAAAATTCATTTGTTTTAAGACATTGGTGTGATTTTTTTCCATGGAATCTAATGGTACTGTTTTTTTTCTGTAGTATTTAATGACAAAATTTGCAATTGATAATTAATGCATTTCTTTGTAACACTTATGTTTAACATACCTTTTATCACCAACCAAATTATGAACAGAAGTAAAGTAGATGTGCCCACTATTATTAATGGTCCCAAGGTCGTATCTTCCTTGAAAGATAAAGTGAAGCTCTTTGTGTTGAATTCAATGCTAGATGACAAAAGCCATCCCTTTCTCAACTTCCCATGTCTCACTGAGCACAATCTCAGTAATATTTTCACCACAGCACAGGAAGTTTCAAAACTTAGCAAAAGTGGAAAGTGTCAAGTGCATGTCTGGTTTTCAAGAACATGGGTGAGCACTCCCACTGCTTTCAGTATAGACCCATTAATCTCCTGATATCATTAGTCAGCTTTTTGAGGCTATAATCAACAAGAATTGAACAACAAGCAGTATGGGTTTTGATCAACCTAATCCACTGCTGATGTCCTAACTACCATTATTTATAGAATTAGTGAGGTTCTTGATGACAAATGCACCTCAAAAAACCATGACATTAGATATTTCAAAGGCCTTTGAGAAGGTGTGACACAAAGGTTTGTTGTTCAATCTCTTCAGCTATGGAATCACTGGAAGGATCTTGTAGTGAAAGAGATAATCAGGCACCCCCGAAAAAAGTTTGTGTTTTGTGTACGATCTGTCAAGAAAAATTACCAAAAGTAGTCAGCAAAAATCTTATAGCAAAGAAAAACGGCGATTTACCTCGTCAAACTAAGCAACAGCGCGTGTCATGGTATTCTATTTAATGGAAAAGTGATGAAAAAGAAACAAGTCCGTCGCAGGAGTTGCTATAAAAGTATTTTGATATGCAAATTACGGAACATCCTATCCCAGCTGTTGACGAATGAAAAAAATAGGTTCTGCCGATAAAAGCAGTTGTTCTCGATTCGGGTCTGAAAATTCGGGCATTTTTGGCTTCGGCGTTTGTTAGAGTGTGAGTTATTTTTTCTGACTGGTTACACGCATTGTGATTTGAGATAGTACCGGCGAATCGAGTTTTCAGCATTTCTTTCTGCCCCCAATATTCGAGTCTGTACTTACAGTGATTTTTCTTTGTGTTGTGGAAGTAATCTGCGACAAATACTTCCTTTGCTTTCAGACTGCATACATATCTTTGCAATTATAAAGTTTTCTGGGACCCTAGCAATCAATGCAGAAGTCACTCTTCAGACAAATGATCTACTTAAGCAATATACTTAGATCATTTGTGAATATCTATGCTGATGCTATAACAATATACATGTGCACCTCCAAAACTTCTGATGGTCAGATTGCAGCTGATCTCTCATTCAATCTTGCTCTCAGTGGGGAAAAAATTACATTCACTGCCTCAAAAACCAAATTAGTTACATATATATAACATCGCACCCCAAGCTGCCACCAATCCTGATGAATGGATGTCCTCTTGGAGTTGCTCCATACGTGGGAGATTATTGTGCCTTAAACTCACCCCTGACTTCAAGTGGAACTCATACATATGATCCATCGCTAAAGATGCTGGAAAAAATAGTCAGTTCCCTGTACTACTCCAATAAGTACCAGACTCTGCATGCTATCTTCTACCTTTACCAGATTAGGCCTAAAATGGAGTACTGTTGTCATATTTGGGTGGGAGCTGCCCTGTCCTCACTTTCCAGTCTCAATAGAGTTCAAAAGCATCTCAGTCCTTGTAGGTGACAAAATTATTTTCTACCCTCCAAGCTCTCTCTCACAGGTGCAACATGGCAAGACTGTCACTGCAGAAGAACTGCATTCTTTGGTTCCACCAGTTAGAACCTTCATGGCTAGGACCCACCATGCCACTCACATTGTAGCAAACCAACCATATTCCCTCTGTATTCCATTGGCAAGAAGTAATTTCTACTCAAACAGCTTCTTCCCACAAACCACTGCCCTGTGAAACAGACTCCCAAGTGTATGTTTCCTCAATCACTACAATCTTAACCAGTTCAAGTTTAACCATTATCTACTATCTGCATAAACTGCTTATTACTGTAACCCCTTACCTCAAGTGGCCCCTGGGCCTTGTACAGGGTGAACCTTTTTTTCCTATACAAATTCTTTGGACACAAAGTGGCTTAGTGGTTAGACATGTAAATAATGGAGTAAGTTCAAACTCCAATGGATATCATTAAAGTTTTTTTAGACTTCAAAAATATACTATTAAAATGTCAAGATTGCTTACTTCCCTTTATGCATACTTTAAACATTAATAAATATTGTAGGATGGTGCATTTGAATTAAAGTTCTACCAAAGTTTTTAGACCGAGTAAACTACTTTAATTATGCCAATTTCTCATATAATTTTATGGCTTATGCAAATCTCTGAAGAAAACAGTATAGTGCAGTGAAACAAAGAAATTTGGCACAATGTCAAGTAACATTGCTAGTATTTTATAGTTCATCACAGAACATAGTTGGAATCTTAGAAGAATTCAACAACTTTAAAAAAAATTAGAAACATCTCAGGCAAGTTTGTTTTTAACTTTTGTGTGCAACAACAAATTTTCAAAATCTTCATTCTCAGTGCAGAGCAGCTGAAATATTCAGAAATTGAAAGCATGTGATAATAGTGCTTTAATTATTTGCAAAGTTGATTAAAGTTTTTTGCAATCAGATGTTGCCTGCAAATTAAACATTACACCATAAATAGACTAGGAACAGGTTCTTTCAGTAGATTTGTTAAATGAGAATGCATATTTTGCACTGAAAATTTTCCAATCAATTTTCTGTATCTTTGTTTTTCTTTACAACAAAGTTTTTTTCCAAAAATAAATAACCTTTTTGTCACTGAAGAAAATATCAAATTTATTTTAATGGTATAAAATTGATGAAAATTGATTAAACCTTTCTATATGATTGAATAATTTTTTTGTCAATGAGTGACAGTTTTGCAACAAGTCTGAGACTATACCTACCTAGAACTTTGGTCCTTGTAGATGTGAAAATGCAATGATTACCAGGATATAAACATTTTGGGAATTTTAACTTGGACCACAAAATAAAACCACACTTTTGTGTATAACTCTTTTACATTTATTCTTTGTAAAACATAAGGGTTACTTAAATGTTTATGACTTAGTTGGTTCTGATGCCTTTCCATGGCCATACCTTATTTCCTCATTGGATCTTTCTACTGTTTGCTTTTGGAATGGTTGTTATAAAGCATTCAGTTTCATTTTTTGCCTTTTATGTCAAAAATACATATCAAAATGACTAACGCACAAACCTGATACAACTGGTTTTCACTGCTTGAGTGGGATATTTGAGACTTTGTCTAATTCTAGCATCAGAATATTGGTTATTCTTGGGTATTATTTTGATGTAATTGCTGTCAACTTCAACTGGTTTCTCCTACTATGAAACAAAGTTTAATGAGATTTCTCTAACAAAACTTTTCACATCATTTTTAATTATTCACAGTACTTTATCAATAAAGTATTTTTGTGTTTGAGTTACATCTTTACTTTTAAAATAGAAAATAAAAATGCTGAAAATATTGCTTATTTTCTTTCTTCAATTTAAAACTCCATAAACTTTTTGGTGAAATTAAAATTGTATGCTGACAAATTGATATTCTTGTATGAATTTAGTTAAAACTAAATGCTTCTAAAGCCATTGCTATGACTTGGTATTTTTGTGTTCTACCAGTCCAGTGCTAGTCATTTATCTCACATACTGGGAGCTGTCCTACTCTTACTGCTTGTGTATTTATATAGTCTATGCCTTAGTTATGCTAATTAGACAGTTATGTACATATCACTATAGCCATGTAACAGCAAACACATTTTGGGTGAGCACAAGACTGAATACTTTTTCTTTCATTTTTGAAATTAAAGTATTGACATTGTATATTGTACATAAATGTCCCTCAAGATGTAATTTGGGTAAAATATATTCAATTCATCATTGCAATGAATTTAAATTTTCTGTTGAAAGTGTTTTCATGGAGATTGAAAGATTGTCAGTATTTATAAGATTAACTGTAGTTACTGTCTAAGATGAGTTAATTTACTTGGTTTTTCATTCTTTAATGACATAATAAGATGGACAACAGAGATAATAAAAATCAATTTGTTTTATTTCTCTCATTTTTTAATTAGCTTTAATGCTATAGTAAAGATACATTTTCATGGAGTAAAGTCTTTGTACATATCTTTCTTTCTCCTCTTTCTTCAGTCATAAGGAATGTAAGGAAATGTAATTTTTTTCTGTGCATTTCTTTTCAGTTTCCATTGATTCCTTAGAATTCCATTGGTATAAACTTTAAAAATAAATTAAAATCTTTTAAAATTAGATAGTTTTAAGGTAAGATAAAGTTTGAGATATCAAATATAGAGAATATTAATGATTTTTATTACACAATTTTAATTGGTCATCTGCTTGAATTTGTGGATGTCTAATAATAATTGAACATTGTAAAGCTTACATTTTCAGTACTTAGCTGGGTTGTGATATTTAAAAAAGATATTTTAATAAAAATTTAATTTTATTAAGATTCTAATGAATAGGCATTTGTTTTAAATATTGTGCTAATTAGTTTTAATGTTATTTGTTTCTATAATTTATTCCAGAGAACAATTCCAATGACTCACTGGAGAATGGGTGTTCTGATGTTGAATCATTGGCTCAGACAGAACCGACTTTGATCAGTTTAAATTCTACCCCACCAGAAATTCGGGTCAGTCCAGATGAAGAAGAAGAAAGTAAGTTTAAATGAAAAAATAAATTTTTCATAATGTTAAATTGTTAATATTCTGGTATATTGTATTGAATAATAGAAATCAATATTTTTCTTAGATTTATTGGTTTTCTCTTTCATATAATTTGGGTAATGTATAAGAGACATTTTTCTGTATTATTCCATCCTTTTTACTAGTTTATATCTTCAGTTTGTGTTAATTTGAAAGATAGGCACTCTGGGCAAGATTTAAAGACACATGAGCTATGTAATGTACCAACATTTGTATTATATTTAATTTAATAATCCTATATAATTTCTAATCTTACTGCTTTTCCTTCTGATTTGCTCCATGTAATTTTGTTGACTATTTTGTCATAGTACTTTATATTGGAGATTCTGAAATTAAGTATTTCTAATATTCACCCCCTTTTTTTAAAATCTTTGTTTCTTTTTATCACAACATTAATTACTACTACATTGTCAACAGAGTAACATAGAGTAAATGAAATAAATAAGAAAGATTTTAAAACAAACCTTTGGCCATCAGTGGCTTCAATAGTAAAATAGCAAATTAATGTTTTCAGTAGAAAACTGTTTTTCTTTGTTTTTTTTTAACAAAAGATAAAACAAAATTATAAATTATGATAAGTGTCTCTAATACTGATCTGATATCTGGATACTGCACAAATCATTTGACAGACATTTGATGTTTCAGTGGTTGCCATCTATTACTGGTTGATCATATTTCAAGTTCTGGATGTAATGCTGTCTTATTTCTGATTCACTAGATCATTCCACTGTATTGATTTTTACCTTTTTATAACATGATCAACTGCAATGCAACAGGAATTTAAATTGCTCATTTAAGGGTAACCTCTCTAACCAGTGTGTTCCTTTTCCTGTTTAGGAGATGCTAATTTTGGTGTATAACACTTTAACTGATAGCTATTAGTGATCTCTGTTCTTATCCTCTGGGCTGTCCAAGAGAGCTCACCCAGAGCTACAACTCTTTCACATAATGTTCACTAGAATACTAACTGCTTCTTTATTTTTCTCCCAGTGTATATACTTTTGGTATGGATTATCTCCCCTTGTATTCAGTATTTAAATGTCTTGTAGGACAGGTGTGTCAAACTGGCATGCAGCACTTTACATGCATCTTGGTGGCCCTCACAAAGGTTTCTATAGCTGTGGTACATCAAGAATTTTGTCTATGTTGGTAATGCAAATTATTAAAAACAGTGAGATATTTTTTTCAATTGGTATGATTAGATTGTTTATTCTATCTCAATAGTTTTTGTTTTTGAATGTCAGTGACTATTTTTAACTTCCGGTTAATCATGTGATCATCCTTGACAACTAAATAAGAACAAATGTAAAGTGAAAACGTTTGTAATTTTGTAATATTTTGCCTTAAAAATGTTGAATTTTATTTCATCTCATAAAAAGAGAAAATTATCTGAAGAAGGATGTGTGTTTCAAGAAAAGTGGGTATTACACTACTTTTGTACCACTGTTAATGGAAAGATAAACTGTTTGATTTGCAACCACTGCATTGCAATACCAAAAGAATATAATGTGAAAAGATATTATGAAATGAACCATTGATCTTATGATAAATATGAAGGAGATATGCATGTTTCAAAAGTGAAGGAATTCAAGGTTAAGTTAACACAGCAACAGAGTTGCTTTACAAAAATTCAGAAAGGCAGCATTAGTTCTGTTACTGTAAGCTTTGAACTCTGTGATGTCTTGTAAAAACAGCTGAAATTGTATGTCCAGAGAAGTCACATTTATTTCAAGACATTTCATTAAGCAGTAATACTGTTGCTGAATAGATTGATGAAATGGCAGGTGATTTGAGTCGACAGTTGAAGTCTTTATCATCAAGTTTTGAACATTTTTCTATTGCTCTGGATGAGACTGTTAACATAGATGGAATAGCACGGCTTACCATTTTCATCAGGGCTCGTGACAATGAATTTCAAATTTATGAAGAACTATTGAACTGGTCCCAATGGATGATACTACAATAAGCCAGGACATTTTTGAGAAAGTTGAACAGCTTCTCCATGAGTATGGTCTTGAGTGTTTATCTACTGATGGTGCTGCCAATATGGTTGAGAGACATAATGGCACTGCTGCCAAGTTAGGTACAAAAATAGAAAACATATAAGTAGATTCAACATTCAAGCATTTTCACTGTATAACTCATTAACAGAACTTATGTTCCAAGATTTTAAAATTAGATTATTTGTCACAAAAACAGTGAACTATATCAAAGGTTGTGCTCTGCATCACCATTAGTTTAGCCAGTTATTGGAAGACATGAATAATCAGTTCATAAATGTCCCATTCTACACGGAAGTTCAATGGCTTTCATGTCACAAGGTACTGAAAAGATTTTTTTTATTGCAATACAAAATTCTTATGTTTTTGGAGATAAAGAATCAAAACACAGATGAATTGAAAGATGAAAGCTGGCTCCAAGATTTAGCTTTTTCAGTGGATATTACTGCCCAATTAAATGACCTTAATTTGAAATTACAAGGTAAAAATAAGCTCATCACTCAGTTATATAATGATATCAAGTGTTTCATTGCAAAATTAGCTTTATTGAGTCTGTATTTATCTTTGCTAAGTACGACAATTTCCTGGAATTGCTGTCAAAGGAATTTCAGCAAAGATTTGTGATTTTTCATCTTGTGAAGATAAGTTTGCATTATTCTCAGCACCATTCACTTTTGATGTTGCTCAGACAGAGGAAAGTCTACAAATGGAACTACTGGAAATACAGACTCAACACTCAAGGGAAAGTACCTAGAAGTAGGGGTAACTGGATTGTTTTCATACCTTCCTCAGACATTTAAGAACTTCAGAAAGTTTGTCACAAAGATTATGTCAATGTTTGGTTCCACATATGTCTGTAAGCAGTTATTTTTGTTTATGAAGGCCACAAAAATGTCTCACAGAACCAGATTAACTGATGAAGATTTGTCATCTTTGATCAAAGTGGGATCCACACAGACATTCCATCCTGACATATCAAGGATAGTTTGTCTAAAGTGATGTCAATCTTCAAGACAACATAAAAATGATTAAATTGTACTACCTTGTATTGTAAGTATTTTGTATTTAAAGTTTAATTACTACTAGCTGTGATTAATGTAAGATTGTAAGCAGGTGTGGCCCTTGAGGCTGAAGGCATGGCTGATGCGGCACTCCATATGCCCTGAGTTTGATATGCCTGTTGTAGGACACACTCCATTCTAAGTTGAATAAAGCTTCAGTTATACCTGCGTTCATTTTCTGACTACAATTTATTTGATTTTGAATCAACATGGAACATTGCAAGAGACCACAACAAAGTTTTGATGTTGGCCCTGACCATACCACAGCTGCTGAACAATGGAGCAATTGGATTTTAATGTTCAAAAACTTTGTAAAAACCCTTATCATCAAATAGACAAGACAGCTGATAACAAACTGTCTCTCTATGTCTATAGGATAATTTCAGACTCCCCTTCCTATGAGGAAGCTATGAATTTGCGGCATGCAATTTACATCAAACCTAAAAATGAGGTTTTCGCTCAACACCTACTTGCTACTCGAAAATAAGAAGATAGTGAATCACTTGAGTGCTACTTAACTGAATTGAGAATACTAAGCAAAGGCTTCAATTTTAAAGCAATGTATGTAGAAGAAGTCTGGGATGAACATATTATGGACATCTTTATAAATGGCCTTCGAAAACATAACCATGTTAAGTATTTAGAAGTCACCTTTCCATCTCAGGAGTTTCAGGGTTCTCCTGACTCTTCATTTTTGTCTTCAGTATTTTCTTGTGACCAAGGTTCTACCTCTGAGCAACCAGTCACAGTGGTCTCAACAAAAAATGCTTCTTCTGTGGACTCTCTTTTCACCTTCACTATTCCTGTACAGCTAGAAATGCCAGATGTCGCAAATGTAAGAAACTTGGACATTTTTTAAGGTATGTAAATCTTCACCCACTCCAACAAAGTTATGTCATAACAGCTGCTTCTCCAGCCTGCCTTTCAAAAACTATGCTAAAAATTTACATTAACAATGTTCCTGTGGATGTCCTTATTGATACAGGTAGTTCTGTGAGCTACATCGATTCAAACGTGGTGAAAGCTAATAAGTGGTGGATATTTCCTTGCTCCAATGAAATAACTATGTCAAATGTTTCTTTGTGCACTCAAGTAATTGGGTACTGCCTGGTCAGACTAAAAAGCAATTCTTACATTTGTGCAAAACTATTAATAATGAAGAACTTCTTTTGCAGTGTGATATTAGGGCATATATTATTCCTATGTAGGCATTATAGTGTCATAATCTCTTTTGGAGGACATGAAGCAACCCTAAAAATCTGCGGACTAGGATCAAGCAACATTCAGTATCTGTCACTTTTTAACAACCTAATGACAAATAGCAAACTCATACCGGTAAAATCTAGATGGTACAAACAATTTATTAAAACAGAAGTAATGTGAATGTTTGGGGAGGGAATTATTGAATCAAGTGAATCTCCATGCAGAGCACAGGTACTCATAACTTCTTCTAAGAATCATAAAAAGAGATTAGTAATAGACTAATCCCAGATCATTCATAGGTTTACCCAGTTGGATGCATACCTGCTGTCTTACATCAATCTCATGTTTATAGTTCTTTGGATACCCTGAGCGCTTACCACCAAGTAGAAGTCATGCTAGAGGATTGACCCTATACAGCCTTTGAGGTGATTGGCCATTTGTATAATTTTTGACAGATTCCATTTGGTGTGACTAATGGTGTGTTGAGTTTTCAAAGAATTATTGACAATAAGCACAGAAACATTGAAGGACACATTTGCCTTCATTGATAATGTAACAGTCTGTGGACTAAATCAATCACAACCTTAAATGGTTCATGGGGGCTGTTAACAAATACAACCTTACATTAAATTCTGACAAATGTTTCTTTGGGGTGAGAACCTCAATCTATTAGTGTACACTGTGAGTG